GTTTAGGGTTTGGGATTTTATCGGGGAGTTTAGGGCTTGGGGTTTAGGGGTTTAGGGAGAATGGAATTTAGGATTTTGGCGCACCTCAGCGTTGGGGACATAGAACCCCTATAAAGTAGGGTTCTACATAACACCTCTTTACGTAGAACCCATCTTCAGAGCGGTAGTAAACAATGGACCCTTCTAGACAGCAAGATGCGGGGGTTTCCGAAAATAGGGGACCCTAATATAGTACCCCAAATAGTAGGATCCTTATTATAAGGACCCCAAATACAGTACCCCTTATTTTCTGAAACTCCCATGCAACAAGCCGCCTCTATCAGCTCCTTGAGAGCGACGAGGTTTCCACTGCTTGCCGCATCACAAAGCGCCGTTGCCTTTTGTGACGCAAAGCTGCATGTGGTCCCTATTCCAAGGGGCGACTGTCAGGGTGAATTTGAGGGTTTTGGGGTAAAAACGTGGGTAGTTCTCTAAATCAGGGTCCCTTTTCAGGTCTCAAAAATAATACGGCACCCTTATAAAAAGGACCCTAATTTAGAGAACTACACAGTTACGCTTTATGGGCTTGGGCTTTTGGGTATCAGGCCTTCGGGGGTTCAGGCTGTAGCTGGAGTGCAGGTTTGGGGTTTTTAGTATATTTCGGAGGTCGTTACAAGTGGGGCCTTAAAGAGAACTGTAGAGACAAGTGGTTTCAACCTCTAACCTAAACGGTATTAACTTTAAATTCCGACTATATAAGGCTTCGCTCACCGAGTGCTCTCAGCACAATGTGATAGGGATTCCTTGTTTAGGGCACTATAATGCTATTGGGGGTGCTAGTAGGATATCAAGACAGCTCGATTCCCAGATCAGCAGCGATACAATAAACCTACACTCAGGGTTCAGGGTTTTCGGTTGACCTTTTCAAAACCCGCTGCCCTCAGCCCAGACTCAATCGTGCACAGGTTCAGTGCCCAAAACACTGACGCCCTGAGCCCTAAATCCTAAACCCGAGAGTCCTCACAACCCGAGGCCCAAACTCACAGAACCACAAAAAACAAATACACCGTAGAAGCTATGGGCAGTTCTCTAGACAAGGGCCCTGTTTAGGGTCCTTTTTATAAAGGTGCCGTATTACTGTACATTAACGGCACCCTAATTTAGAGAACTACCCCTATACAGATACATCTCCATCGGCCCTAAACCAATCGTTGCAAGGTGCCGGGTCGTCTAAATTCAGGTCAGCCTGCTGCTCCACCAGCAGCTCCTTAGCTGCACTGAGGATTGGGGCTTTATATAGTTCAAGATTTCGGGCTTTAGCCCTAAACCCCCTTAAAACTCCCTAAACCCTAAACCCCCTAAACTCCCTAAAACTCCCTAGAACTCCCTAAACCCTAAACCCCCTAAACTCCCTAAACCTTATAAACCCTAAGCTTTTTACGGTTCGAGAGGTTCGGGCTTCGAGCTCCGGGTCCTCAGACCGGGTTCTGCTCTTGGCCCTGGAAGGCTACCGGCGTGGTACTGTACCGTTTGGTTTAGGGTTTAGGGTTTAGGGTTTAGGGTTTAGGGTTTAGGGTTTCCCTCTCTCATGGCGGAGGTTCATGCTCACTGTGCAGTTTCGGCGCTCACACTCGGACAACCCAGGCGTGGTGCAGTCTAGAGTTTATAGGTTTGGAGTGATTTTGGACTAACTCGCTTTTGAAATGTCGGATGATATCCATACGGCATACGGTCCAAGCAGTGGCTGAAAGCACATTGCACCCCAGCACAGCATAAACAGTCATGCCGTGACGTGGTTGAGCCCTTGACTACGGACATGAATCTAGACCGGAGAGCTTAACAATGGAAACTGATCACGTCCAAGCCTCAAGCCAACAACCCTCAACCTTACACTCGACCTTAAAATCCTTAAAAGCCTTTAGGGCTTCGGGCTCAGGGTTTTAACCCTAACGCCCAAAGCATCCAAGGCGCCGTTACAGCCACGAATTTCCCCAGCACTGCATCTTTGAGCGGGGACCCTTTCCACCGGTCCTGTGGGAAAGAGGCGGAACTCCTAGGGTTTCGAGTTTAGGGTGTAGCTTTCTGTAGGGCTTCGGGCTTAGGGTTTCAGACCCTGGGGCTTGTATAGTATAGTATATGGTTTCAGGGTTTCCGTACAGACCTAACACTGCCATACGGAAAGCAAGCCAAGAACCCTAAACCCTAAACCCTAAAACCCAACTTGGGGCCCACCCACAGCTGCAACAGCAGAAATAGAGTGCTGTGTGCATCAAAATTTCGGGCCTATTGATGATAATGGTGTCATAAGGCTGTCGCGATCACCACTGGATGCAACGATGATGAGTAATTAGGGTTCAGTGCCACAACACCTTTCTCCGAATAAGTATGTGTTTAACACCTGCAAGAATTCAGAATGGCACTGGAAAGAAACTGAAACATCGTCTTTGGCACAGTGCTCGTCCCCGCCGCGTGCCAACACTTTCCGCCCTCCTGTGACTGTAATTCAAACGCAAAACCCTCATCAAAGCGGCAACCTTGAAGCCACTAAATCCGAACACTCCTGCGCCCCTTGTCCCCTACATCCCTTCACTATTTTCAGCTACAGCCAAGCCATCTAAAGCGCAACCCTGAACCCTCAACCCCAGACCCCAAGCCCTAAAACCTTCGATCCTGGTCCCTATCCCTAACACACTAAAGGCATCTCCAGGCTGGGTCCTAAATCCCAAACCCTACCCAAGACCCTCATAGAAAACTTTAGATTCTCTAGATCCCCGTTTAAGGAACCCTCGCCGTGCTGCCTGCTTGTTCACATTGCCCTCAGCTTCGATCAGCAACTTCATCACCTTAGCAACTTTTGGATCTCTTTCCGTCTTATTTATGGCTTTTGGGACCCAGAATGGGCCCAAAGAAATTCCTATAGAGGGAGTACTGGGACCATTGGACCCTTAGGGCCCAGAGCGTCCAAGTATCAGTATGGTATATAATTTGGGGCCCCAAGTATCTGCTAGGAGCCTACTCGAATGATACTTGGACCCTTTGTGTAGTGGCCTTCATAAGGAGAACGGCTCTTTGACTAGAGGTGACTTTCAGGCCTCTATGATGTAGGTTAAGGGCAGAGTTTTTGCTCTTCGGTTTGGGGGCATGATATTGCACGGGCCTCAATATACCGATATTATTGGGTTTACGCGAAGATGGTGTTAATAACTATTCCAAACCCTAAGAGTTTGACCAGATCTGACGGAAGTTAACTACAAAAATCCCCATCAGCCTCATGTCTCGCACATTCTGAGCGTTACTGCAGAGGCCTTGTTGAATTAGAACCAAATTAGAATCGGGTTTCGGGGCCCATTTTATTATACTTAATACAAGCAGGAACCCCCAAAAATAATATTGGCAATTATTTAGGCCCCTACAGTTACCCCTGGCCAGTCCGGGTTACGACTGGGCTTTGGGTTCTTGGCACGAGGGGCAAGTACAGCCAGGAGCACCTAATGTAGGGGGCCTTAATAATTAGAATAAGGGTTTTGGAGGGGTTCCTTACTATAATTATAGTATAATGGGCCCCAAACCATGTTCTAATTATGCAGGCCCCTATATTATTTCAACTGACATCCGAGCTACTCTTCGAAGTATAAATTACATGCAGCTGCCGCAGGGGCACGGACCTTCAACACCGAAGCAAACAACCTGCTGTCCACCAATCGGTCGCTTTCAATCTACCTGAACTTTCCCAAACCCCTGGACCCGAAACGCTAAGCCCTTTTTCTGCATCAGGACTTGCACAAACGCAAACCCTTTTTGCATCCAGGACTCTTGCAAGCAAACGCAAACCCTAAACTCCTTAACCCTGGGCCCTCATGTAGTGGTCTTGATAATTAGAATAGGGTTTTGGGGATCCCTTATTGTAATCATAGTCTTAGTATAATATCCCCCCAAGCCCTAGTCCAATTTTTACAGCCCCTATATTAGATCCTGAAAGCCCCACGTCCGAGCGGCCTGCTCCCTTCCTTCGGCTGCAGCCAAGTGCATGGCGGTGCGCCCGTCGCAGTTTGTGGTGTTCACCTGCACTCGCTTTCGCAACCTGAGCGCTTGCGATGAGGCTTCAAGTCTGCCATGAGCTGCCTTGATTCCAGGTTGAATCAGGAGCCATTTAGGGTTTAGTTAGGGTTTTAGGAGCCATGTAGGGCTGAGGGTGTAGGGGATGTAAGCATGCATGGTCGTCTGCAGTACCGCTTGAAGAGCTTTGGCGGTTTAGAGCTTACAGAAGGGTCTAGCTTGTCAGTCACGAACCTTCGCCTGAATCTTGAATGCTCGGCCCACTGCAAGCTGCACGGATGGTGAAAAGTCGGGTGGTTCATAAGGTAGTTACTAAGGTCAAAACAAAGTGGACACATATTAATTGAATATGTATATAAATATATATATATATATATATATATATATATATTTGTATGTTTGCTTATTTATTGATATATATATATATATACATATATATATATATATATATATTTATTTATTTATTTATCTACTTTAAATATCTTTGTACACATATACATACATGCATACACGCACACCCAAGACTTAGGTACATAAACCATGACCTGAAACCAAAGCTCTGAATCAAAAACCTTGGACAAATCCGCAAAGGCTTGACTTACTTCCCCAATAAGCCAGGGAAACAAAAGGTTAAACTTTCAGATTACCACGACATTATAAGACACCAACCAGTTTAAAGGCTGGGTATTGGAGAACTAAGTTTAGCGGCCGCATGGTCTCAAGTTCCGGCCGGGCAGCAGGAGGTCGACCTGATCTATGTTACCATCCGCCGCCGCGCGGATGAAGGCCGAGCTCATGTGGCCTTAGTTGAAGTTCGGCTTGCTGACCTGCTTGAGGGTTTAGGTTCTAGGTTTCTTTTGCCTTAGGTTTTAGGGTTTCGACTATCACTCTCGCACAGGGCTGCAAGGCTCCGAATATATCCTGTTCTAGGGTTTAGGGTTTAGGGTTTGTAGAAGTCTACATGGGTTGTAAGGCCATGTTGGCTAGATAAGGATATATCTGGGCTAAGGCTCAGGGTTAAGTGTTGAGGCTTTATGCGGGTTTCTTTTCCATCCTGCATTGCTTGGTTATGTCCGCAAGGCAGGGCTGCAACTGTGACAGGTTGGTGAGTTTTTTGCATCCAGGACTCTTGCAAGCAGCCGGGAAACTCCACAAGACAGTGCAGGTTGGTGAGTTAAATCTGCGAACCCTCCAAAGGTCAGGCCGGCTTCATGCAAGTTCCGGAGTACGCAGGTCTTACCATGTCTAGGTCCTCAGGTTTCTTGATGGAGAAGATGCTCACAATCCACACATGCGAATTAGTCAGCATGCTTTGGCAAGTCCTCTGAGAATCAGAGTCAGTTATGACTTAAAGAAGCAGGGGCCAGGTACAGTTTATCTGGGTCAAGGGTTAAGGCTTTAATGTTTACGGTACGGAAAGCGTAGTGTTAAGGGGTTTGGCGCCTTAAGACTTAGAACAGGGTGTTTGGGGCGTACTATACTACAATTGCAATTAAGGAACCCCAAACTAGTATAGGTAAGCATTAAGGCCCCCTATATTACCATTTGCAGACCGCCAGCCCCATAATTCTAACACTCGAAGTCTTAAAGCCCAAACCCCGCCATCGGAACAGATTTCGAGTGCCAGCATGACACGATATCGACAGAGACACGGTGTAGGGTTTGGGGGGTTTAGGGTTTAGGGCTCAGGGATTAGAGTCAAACAGCTTCTCTGTTCGAACTGAAACTTCCTGGAGGTAGTCGGTTACGGGAACCAGGGTACATGCCGAACTAAACCGGAGAGTCTGCTGGGGAAGGTCCCAGTGGCTCGTGCGCTTCAAGAGCTTCGAGCGGACCGCCTGTCGAGGGCCAAGGGTCTCTGGACACTCAAAGGGCGACTCCAGCAGGTACTAAAACAAGGTGGCTATTATCAAGGGCTTTTGATTCAGGACAATGGACATCTTTAATGCCTGTTCTAAACCATACACTGCGATAAACAGATGTCCTAGAGACATTGCCGCGGTTGAGCCGAAGTTAGGAGCCATGTTTACTATAACCACAGTACCACTCGGTATTGCAGTACCCTAAACCCTAAAGGATGATGGCGCACAGAAGCGACGGGAAAATCTTAGTTGCAGCCTTTCGGCTCGCCCCGATCATGCCCGCGGTTCTTCATACTTTTTTTACCTTGGGGTTTCGTAACCATAACTCAGCTCGAATATAGTGGCTTTCACATCAAAATGGGGATTCTAAGATAATTGAACGGTAACCCTATACCGACTCGCAACGGGGACTACAGGGGGGATTCTATGTGTCGTTTCTCCGAACCCTGTTGATAGATCTCAAAAAGCCCTTTTGCAGCTTCATCAGCGGGTCAAGCTCGCTTCAGCAATGAATCCCGCGCCCACGTCGAAACATAGAGAAGCCTAAACCCTAAACCCTAAATCCTACACCCTGAATCCTAAACCCTAAACCCTGAACCCTAAAATAAAAAAAAACCCGGAGACCTGACAGTCCAAACCCGAGACAAGAGAGTTGAAAGCAAACGGCTCCTTCTTGAAAAACCCTCGAGTCCCTAATTCTGCAGGACGAGCAGCCAAGCCCGATTGAGTTTAGGGCTTAGAATTATGCTTGAGGTTTTGGGTTTAGGATTGTGGCTGAGGTTTATGGTTTAGGGCTTCGGATTGTCATTGTGATTGAGGTTTAGAGTGTAGGATTTGGGAAATGAAAAAAGAGGACAAGGTTGCAAACTAAAGCGCCACAAAGGATTGACTTTCTACAGTGGGCCCACCGAGTTCCAATAATCCTTGGAGATGCGTCAAGTCTTCGTCAACATACTTCTCCATCCGGGAATGCCCCAAGCTTGATGCTTCGGAGGTGTCACTGTCATGTAACGTGTTGGTATATTTCCTGCCTCGAGCTCTTAACTGTACACCCTAAACCTGCACCTGACGAGCTGACCTCAAGCGAATGCACAGAAGGGGCGCTCTTTCAGGCTCAGCTTCTCGGTGTGCCTCCTCGTTTAATTGGGACCCGTGAGATTTCTGAACACAAGGGACTTATAATACCCTAACCCCCCAGGTACCTACTATACCCTAGGGGCTCCAGTACCCTATATAGTAGGTACCTGGGAGGTTAGGGATATGGTAGGATCTTCGACAGGAGCCTCCCGCATCTGCACGAAGAGCTCTGTGTCGTCGTGGCCGTCGGTGAGATACTCCCGCTTGGCATCGGTTCCGCTGAGCGTCAGCTGCATGGACTGCGCCGCATTTTGCATCAGCTGATCCTTAGACTTCGTCAGAAGAACAAGAAAAGCAAGTCTCAATTTTCAGTCTGATTCCTGGAAAGGGTGTTGAAGAATTCGGAAAAAGCATTCACTAAGTCAGCTGCTAGGATCTTGGTCTGTGTCCAGGTGCAGCATGAGTTTGTCAAAGGCCTTCTTGGAGACCCGCAGGACACTGGATTCCACGCCAGCACGGGAACGAACCGAGTATAGGTGCGGCATGTCTAGCAGGAAAGCCACCTCCCCCACCACAGTGGTCTCGTTTGGCCGGTCGCTGCGCACGTATCGAATCAACTGCTCTTGCCGTGTAAGCATCAAGGTGCCTGTGTCCAGGAAGCTAAGATCCTGTGGCGCATCATGCTCGACAAAGAGCCTGGAGTCTTCTGACAGGCCAACTTAAACATATGATATCTATTCAGTCTTAAGAATATACTGTACCGAAAAGGAGCCAACTTAAACATATGATATCTATTCAGTCTTAAGAATATACTGTACCGAAAATAACATGATGAAGAAGAGCCGATGCGCATTTCGGAAGGAAGCAGCATGACGAGCTCGAGTTGATTGCAGAGTTGGAGTGTGAACTCGGCCGAAACCCCACTGAGCAACCACTCATTCGCCTGTATGACTGGCCTTGGTTCCGGTTTAGGGTTTAGGGTTTAGGGTTAAGGGCTTTAGGTTTTTTTTGTTTTAAGGGCCCCTTTTCGTGTCAGCAGACTGCGTCGCGACAAGCCCATGTTGGGCGGGCTAGGATAACAAGCTCAGGATTTAGGGTTTAAGGTTTAGGGTTTAGGGTAAATGTATGCAACCCTACAAAAGGCCTAGAACAAATTTCATCACACAAGCCCTGAAGAACTCCCACAAATAAAAGTGTAAACACTTGCCGAGGCCAATAAAAGCCTGAACCCTGAACCCTAATGATCCCTTCTTCTTGAGCAGGGGCTGCAGCGCTAATGATCCCAAAAGCCCTAAAATAGGAGCCTAAATGATTACCTACACTGTTTTGGTGGTTCCTTACCATAACTATCGCATAATGTACCACAAAACCCTATTCTAATTATTAAGGCCCCTATACTATACCCTTATCATGACCCCTATAGGACCCGTTTAAGGAACCCTTAAAGGAACCTCTCCTTGACCCTGAAGATAGAATCCTTTTTAAGGAACCCTTCTAACCCTTAAAGGAACACTATTCTAACTATGAAGGCCCCTATATGGGAGCTTCAGAAAATTAGGGTACCTTGTTTTGGGTTCCTTCTTAAAAGGGATCCTTTTATTTAGGGTACTATAGTAGGGCCACCTATTTCCGGAACTCCCCATATTACCTTAAACCCTAAACCCTAAACTCTAAACGCTAAGCCTTATGCCCTAAACTCTAAACTCTAAACCCTAAACCTTAAACCCTAATCCTTGACCCTGAAGAGCCCAGTGGCAGGTAGAGCTGCTCCATGGTCTTCTTCTGGAGGTCGGGCTGGAAGGTCTTCAACACCACCTAGGGTAGGGTTTAGGTGTGTTTTTTGGGTTAGGGTTTAGGGTTTAGGGTTAAACCCTAAACCCTAAACCCTAAGTTTAGGGTGTAGGGTGTAGGGTTTAGGGTGTAAGCTTTAGGGTGTAGGGTTTAGGGTGTCGGGTTTAGGGTTCCCCGTCACCCTATAGTGAACCAGTGAACCCTAGAAAGTTAGAACATGGATTTAGGATGATTCGTGCCGGGCTTCCCTATACTTTACATTGAGGGCATGAGGATACTGATGTTCCAA